GCTGGGGGGGCACTGGGGAGAGCGTTGGGAGGTCTGGGAGTGAAGTGAGAACGACTGGGAATGGACTGAGAGGGTCTGGGAATGGATCGGGAAGGTCTGGGAGTGGAGTGAGAGGGTCTGGAAAGGACTGGGAAGGACTGGGAAAGGCTGGGCTGGACTGGGAAGTAAGCAATCCGGACTGGGAGGCTGAGTCGTGGTGAGGGAAGTCTTTGGTTTGGGTCTGCCTGGCAACTGGAGCGTCATCAGAGAGACGCGCTGGGATTGGCTGAGGGGCGGGAGCTCGGTGGCCCCAGCGGGGTGGAGACGCGGGGGGGCACTGGGAGAGACTGGGATGGACTGGGATGGACTTTGAAAAAGTGGAATGGACTGAGAGAGACTAGGGGGCATTGGAAGGACTGGGAGAGACAGGAAAGAACTGGGAAGGGGTAAAAGGCCAAGGGAAGGGCACAGGGAGGGCTGCGGGGTCTGGGGTGATTTCCAGGGAGGGCATGAGGGGCTCCAGGGTCATTCCCGGGGCAGGGGCTGAGGGGACCCGCTCTGCTCCACACTCACCTCTCCTCTCCACACTGAACGGAGCACCAAGTTTGTAGTTGTGCCGGCAGAGCCTGTCCACTTCACCCCGTTCGTACTCCAGAATTTCGGGGTTGTTGTTCCATTGCCTGGCCCAGAATTCTCCATACAGGGTGTCCCCCACAAAGACCCCCACATCGCTGTCGAAGTGGGCGTACTGCTCCCGGTTGTAGATGTACCTGTCCACGTACCTCACCCACTCTGTGCCGTTGATGAAGTGACACTCGGCCTTTCCCATCCACTGGAACACCCCTGTGTGTGCAGGACACGGGTCGGGGATGCCCCGTCCACCCCCATCATCCCCCAGCCCCCACAGCAGGCTGGGACCTCAGGGGGCCACCCCGGACCCCCCTTTCCCACCCCCTCTGCCCCATGGACGCCCCAACACCGGCTCTTGACTGGGGGAGAACCCCCCCATCAGCCCCCCGGGGA